GCCCTGGTCCCTGCGCCGCTCTGGGAGAGCGCACGCCTAGGGAGAGGTGATCCCCAATCTCCAAGAGATTAATTCTTATTTAAGCTCTCCCAGCAGCTTGAACTTGTCGAACAAGAGCTTGCCCGCCGGTCCTCCGGGCGTGGGCCGGCTAGGGGTCAGGGGTCACACCTCCTGCTCTCCCGCCCTCCGCGGCGCTTTTGCTGGTGGGGGGTGGGGTGGGGGAGGAGAACTGAGACCCGCTCTCCGAAATTCTGCCTGCCTTCCCCCAACTGCACTTTCTTCAGACTCAGGGTCAACCCGGGCTTTCGATCAGAGTTTGTGTGTGTGAATGCTTGCGTCCCCCGAGCCCTCGGAGGGCGCAGCAGCCCCTCCGTCCGGCGTCTCCCGGGCACAGGCTGTGCGCTCCTGCAGGAAGCCGCAGCACGTGACTGCAACTTTCCGCAGCAGCCTTTGCGGGGCCTGGACCCCCGGCCTGCGCACCCCACACGCACGAGAGCCCGCGTCCTTGCCAGGGTCGTACAGCCTCCGGGGCTCGGGAGCTGGGGACACCCGGAAAAAGCAAGACAGGGGACGACTATTTCCCAAATTAACCCTCCTTGGCTTTTTTTTTTTTTGTATTGGGACGAGATTAGGGAATCGTGGGACTAAACCATAAACCTGAGGGTATTTTTGAGGAGAATGGAAAAGAAATTAAAATTTTTGACAGCCAAATTGGGCAGCGTACTGGCCACGCACGCGAAATGGTACAAACTTTAACTCCGCGCCCAGAAAGGGAAGTGATTTCCAGGCGTCGTTTGAGAAACACAGTTATTGTCCGATGCTCGGTTTTGGAGCCTGGGGTTCTGGCTCCTGCCAGGGACCCACTTGTCCCGCCGCCGCTGCCTCTGCAGCCGCCGCCACCACCGTCACTATCATGTGGACGCAGAGTGGGGCGCTTCGTTAAGGACAAAGAACAAGATCCAAGTACAGTACTGCATCTCAGGCGAAGACGAAGTCCAATGTCAAAGACTAGACCTGGGCCTGTCCCTGGGGCAAAGCCTTAGGATTCTGTGGCAAGAAGGCGACCTAGAAACTGCTTTTTGGGAGGGGTCGCTTGGAGGTAGGACTATGGCTCTCGAAGGGTCCAAACTACCTCTTCCTCTATTCCCCGACATTCTTGCCCTGCTGGCTCATTTGTAGGCATAAAAACTTCTGGAAAATACTCCCGAGGCTCATCAAATTGTCTCAAAATCAAAATGGGAATGCCTCCCTCTTTTTCCTGTCACCAGTCCCTAATCAAGCAGGGTATCCAGGAGTCCAGTGAATAGAAACGTGGGCGCGCGCGCGCACACACACACACACACACCACCACCACCACCACCACCACCACCACCATCCAGTCCTGGCAAAAGGCACAACACGCGCGCACACACCCGCAGCATGTTCGTCCTGTGTTCTGTGCGCCCGGCTGTAATTATCGGCGCGCTTTGCATAAATCACAATGCAGTTCTGAAATCATCATGATGACTTTCTGGCATGATTGGTTCAGTGGCAACAGCAGCTACAAGATC